GTACAGTGGTGTGAACATACATAGCTCACTGCAACCTCAAACTCCTGGGCTCAAGCGATCCTCCTACCTCAGCCTCCTGAATAGCTGGGTCTGCAAGCTTGCACCTTGACGCCTGGCTAATTTTTCTATTTTCAGTAGAGATGGGGTCTCAGTCTTGCTCTGGCTGGTCTCTTGAGCTCAAGTGATCTTCCTGCCTTGGCCTCCTAGAGTGTTAGGAAGATTACAGGTGTGAACCACCACCTGGAGTGAACTTCTCAAGGTGACTTGCCCCAAGGTCATTTTAGCCAGGAAGTGGCAGAGCTGGGACTCAGTCCATTTAACCCCTGATCTGTTAGTTTTGCTAGAAATATGCTTCTTTTATATGGCTGGTTTATAAAAATGGAGTAAATACTTAGCCTCTCTGTAAGAAAAGAAAAACTCATCTTTGCTTCTCTCTTTTGTGGTTTTTGCTTTTTTCTCTTTATGTACTTGATATTTTGAGAGGTTAAATGATTTTATCTGACAGAAAAACTGGGCAGTTGAATGTAGTTGGTATTCTGCATTTTAGGATAAGATAGCCCTTGCTCTTTTCTGAGAATGTAGTTAAGAAATTTTTGTTGGGATGTTATATGATGGAAGACTACAGAAAGAATTTATTTTATATATTAAAATATTGTTATGGCGAACTTGGACAGCTTTTCTTACGCAGAATTCTGTTGATTAAATTAGATTTTATCTACGTAATATGTTTCAGAAGTTAAAAAAAATGTACTTCAATAATTCACCTGTAGGATTGTTCATGTTATATAGTTGAATACATGGATAGATCACGTTTGCTAATGATACAACTCCTTCAGTGAGAATACTTTCTATAGGGCTCTTTATTATTCTTTGTACTTAAAATGAATTTATAAGATAAGCTCTTAGAAGTTAGATTCTTACCACATGAGAGGTAACCTATTGATAAAGATAGTGACTGTTGAAATGCACAAACACAACACACTCAGATTTTAGGGGAAATGGGGGTAATAAAACTTGGCAGTAGTAATTTTTAAAACCATGGTTAATAAAGTTTGTTGTTCTCATAAACTTTTTTTAGTCAGAAGGATGTTTATTACATAAACCAGTTAGAAACAGTCTAAATAAATTTTGTGATATTGAGATGGTAGAATGCTTTACAACCCTAAAAATGATTTAGTTGAACATTTAGTGATGTCTCATAGACCTTTATGTATCATCCCAAGCATTTATTAAGCATTTCCATAGGTATTTATTCCCAGTAGTTCATTCCGTAACGCTGTAAAGTAGATTAGATTAGTCTTGTGAAACATAAGGAAATTGAAACTCTTAGGAAAACTTACGAAGTTAAGGGGTCTTGCACGAGATCTTCAGAGGTAGTTTAACCAGGGCAATACAAGCGTCCAGATTCAGCTACCAGTGCTCTTTCTGCTTGCTACAAAGTAGTAGTAGTATTTCTTTAGGTTTGTTTTTATAATTGATTTTGCTTGTACCCCTTTTAAACTGTCAAATATTAAAGTCACCTTTTAATTTTTAGTTTCTCAGTATCTTATGGTTAGTGATTGGTGAAATTATGAAAACTATAGTTCTTTGCCTTTAGTTGGAAAATATCTGTGAATAAAACAGGTATATTTTGTTTATAAATGTACTTACCTTCCAATTTCCAAAGGTAAGTAATAAAAATCTTAACCGGTTAAATTATATTTAAACCCATTGAGTAGTATTAAAAATTGTACAGTGAACGGCCGGGCATGGTGGCTCACGCCTGTAATCCTAGCACTCTGGGAGGCTGAGGC